TCGTCTCGGACTTGCTTCTCCAATTCTTTGACCCGCCTCCGCAAAACCTTGTTATCACGTTGGAGTACCGCAAGACCAGTCTTAAGGTCAACATTCTCCGAGATCATTTCCTTGATACCCTCTTCTGACAGCTTGTCAAGGCGATCGCTCAAGAACATAACTTTGAGCTTGAGATCGAAGTTTTCCTTTGACAGCCTCTCAATCGTACTGCTCTGTTCTTTGAGCGTCAAGTTCTTGCCCGATCGGGCGGTATTGACGGAACCCATGGCGATTGAGGATTGTTTCCGGGGTGTTTCGAGTCCGCCCTTGTACTTGTACTCCTTGGCCAAAGATTCGGGTACCTGGACGTTTCTAACATGCCGCGCGATGACCGTATCTGTAGGCGCTGTAGTGAACCCTTCCTTAGAGGGCTTCGGTGTCTCCAGCAAATCTTGTCGCTGCCGTTCGGGACTATCGACTTCATGAAGCGGTTCGAGTTGCGGTAATGAAGTATCAGTGTAATCCTCAGCGCCGAATGCTGATCCAACACTACCCATGCTCCCTATGCTGATGGATCGTAGCATGGGGTTGCTGGGATTTCGTAGCATTCCAATAGCGGGGACTGCACCGCCAGACTGTAAAGCGTAATCGGTACCAAGACCAACGGTCATGTCGCTGCCTTCGTGAGACTCGGGGTTCGTAGCAAATGAGGATGTCGATGATCGTTGGCTTCCAAAACGACTACGCAGATATTTTGGCCGTCGGCTTCGAAGCGATTGACCAGGGGTGCTGCCCGCATTGACTTTTTCTGACAAGGAATGTGTTCTCGATAAAGGGGCCTCGTTATCGCCAGCGCTGGATACCTGTGAGCTCTCCTGTTCCGTGTCGTCCTTTTCGCTCTCGTCGTAGCTTGTGTTGCGATTGTCTGGCTGACTCGCCATGCTAACAGCGCGCGAAATAGTTCTTCGTGTTGCAGCTGCCGTCGGCGACGAAAAGTTCTCAAAGCCGGACGTATTCGTGCTGGCGACAGTTACATCGTGATCCTCCTCTTCTTCTTCTTCTTGATGTCGTTGCAGAGGCTGAGGAGCAGGCGCAGGCTTTTTTGTCGGGGAGTCGAATTGGTACGTGTCGTCGACGCCGCCGTCCAGGTTCGTGGATGCAGTTGGAATGGGCGACAAGGCGGGTAAGAAGCTAGACTCCACGTCTCCCAGGTGGCGTCTAACGTCCTCCTCAGTCAAGGAATCGTCATGTCCCCGTGTGACATCGACGGAAATAGGATCGAAGTAGCTGGTTTCAGGGGCAGAGTGACCAGGCAGGTGCAGCATCGAGTCTTCGTGGCCTGTGGGGGGATTGCTCGTGGTCTGGGGAATTGTCCGGGTCTGAGATTTTGCGTGCGTATCATCAACGGTTATCGCAATGTCGTGTGGAGATGTCGCTGTGGTAGGGTTTGTTGGCTGGGCTTGCGACGTGTCGGCGGCTGTATCGTCAGTCATCTCTGATGTCTCAGTGGCCTCGGTGTGGTCCAGCAGATCATCGCTGCCGATGTGTGAGACGCGATGGGCCGTCTGTGGACGCGACCCGTCCTTGGTGCCGCTTGGACTCGGGCTTGGGCTGGGAGCCTGAGCCTTTGGGCTCTGGCTGTTTTCTCGCTCATCGTTGGCCATGATGCATTGCGGCGACCGCTATGCGAGGCAGCTTTGGTGTGCTGTGCTGGTGGACTTTGATTGATGCAGATGCGAATGTGGATGGAGATTGTCGGGTATTGAATGGGGATGCTGAATGTTTTGTCTTTCTAGGCATCGCCCGCCATAAGCTCTCACTAAAGAGAAAACCTGACTGCGCTAAAGTCTATCCCTTCAGGGCACCGTTGCTGGTGTATCTGTCCAGCCAATCATAGCCTCTATCATCCCCCCTGCGCAGGTTGTTTAGCGGCGGTTGGAGGGGAAATAGCGGGGCTGATCCATGTGGTCGAATTGAAGCTTGGCCCGTTGCTTGGGACAACCTGACCTACCCGCGCTTTATGCATCAGTCAGTCTATGGGTAGAAGAATTCAATGACAGCGATACTCGGATTCACAGCGAAACCCCGTCATGGACGCAAAGATACGAGATAATTTACACTTTTGATTCAGCCTGAGACAGTAAACTTGCTTCTGATCGTTAGATCGCAGGTTGAAACAAGGGTTTGAGTTGGAGAAGAGAACTAAATTCCTAAGCGAGTAAGCAATTCGTATCGAAGTGAAACCATCCTTCAGGTTCGTTTATTTTGTGGATTGATGATTCGCAGGAGTTTGATCTACAATGCCCCGTGGCAGTGATTCACGTCAACCTTGATGTCACTTTAGACCCATGAAATTGAAGTAATTATGTCATATTTATTCATGCTCACTATTTGAGCTTCCATCATTAAACATTATCCCTCTCTCTAGTTAGAGTACTTGGGGTCGACCTTGTTGCTGGAGGATTGTCAGCCACAGTTCAAGCCACGATGAGTGATAAACGCCACTTACCCAGTCTGCTTCTCGTACTGGCCGCGGGCAAAGTCGGTGGCCTTCTCCTGGTTGTCGCGGGAGATGTTGAAGCCGGCCTTCTTGTTGAGGAAATCAACACCTATGAATGTCAGTCAGCGGTCTGTGGAGGTCCATAGGTATTTGAGGGGTATTTACCCTTATCGACGTAGTCCTCCTGGTTCTTGGAGGCATCACCAGTCTTGGAAGCATCACCAGACTTAGAGCCACCAGACACAGCGTTCTTGATGAAATCCATTGTGAGTTGAGTGTGTTGATTTGGGTTGTAGATGTAAGTGAAGTAGTTTAGTGTGATAAAGAACTCAATCTAGCAGCGGCATTCCGTCCTTCTTATACCTCTCAACCCGCAGCTAATAATAACGAACCATTTCCAACTTCGTTCAAGTCTCTTTTGCAGAATGGAGAAATAAAACCGGCAGATCCATTAGATCTCACCAAAGTGCCAACATCTGCATGCCCCCTCTTTCGTCATCTCCCACTTTGCAGGGGTCCAGCCTACGTCACTTCAGACCCTGAGTTACCAAGACCGATTCCGAAACTCACGGCACGCATTGCCGATACTTATTCTAATTCCGGTATATGACTCTGGGTATTTCATCATGGATGTTTCAAAGACGGAAAGCTTCTTGGCTGATTGTCGCGATGCTTTCCTGGTGAGGGGTAGGTAAGTGAACCTTGGTCGAGGCCTTGACGTGAAAGCTGAGCTAGTGACACCGCCGTGCAGAGGGAGCTGAAAAGATAAGAGGAGGGCTAATGAGGATCGAGCAAAGCGTCGGGGGTCGAAGGGTCCAGAGCTTCTCTCAGTTAGCTTGAAGATTGAGGGAGCCAGGGGAGACAAGAAAACTCCTTTATGCTAAGGGATGGAAATGTGTACTGAGGTAGTCTGCAGCGAAACCCAGGGAGCCCGCGCTCAGGCCTGGTTAAGGTAGTCAGGTATGAGTCCCCCGCTCTTGCTCTGGCGGATCGCAGGGACATGGCCTATGAGCAGAACGTTCTGACTTGGCGTAGGAACTGCCCATCTTTGTTTACTGTGAAGCTTCGCAAACTTCATATCTCTAACATCTGACACATTAGGAAACCACCAACATCTCAAAGTGTCGCTTAGACTCTCGGATTGCAATGCCCAGGCCCTTCTTTTGGCTTTTGGTCTGAAAATCACGAACTATGCCCTAATGCCCAAGTTCTCGACGTGAACACCGCTCGACTATACCATGCACGGTACCAAAAGAAAGACAATTGCCTTTCTCTCTCGCGTCGCTGCTTGACCTGCGAGCTGACTAGCACATGCTGAGGGCTCAATGCTCGAATCCGGGGATCTCAGTCGTGCAAGGAAATACAATTTGCGTTGTCGAAGCTTGCAATAACACCAGCCATGTCCCTGGGTCTAGCCACTGCCCTCAACATTTGGGCGAGATAGGCCATGAACACCATGCAAAGCAGAAAAACGTTGACTTATACGCATTACGCGTGAAGTTTCAGGCTGCAGCCGGAAGGAAATGGGTCTCAAATCGTCAGTATGATGACCTGGTCCAAACTCGCGTAGCAGAAATCCAGGCAGGGTCGCGATCAAGCTCTCATCTCGCGGTCCCAGATGACGAGTTTTCACCCAAGACGCACGACCTCTTCGAATCCGCTATCATTGATCGTGTCTTTGGCAAAACCTTGATCAATACCCAGGTGAAGTATTCCCAAGGAAAGCAAACAAAGCAATCGGCAGGTCCAAAGTGCTCCTTGTAAGACGCCTTAAACTGGCTTCAGAGGCGATCTCGGCCCGCGTCCCACGCTGCATCTCGGCAGTGTACGTGTAAAAGCCTCTCCGGCTGCAGAAGGACGTTAATGGATCGAGAATAGCCTCAATAGTCGGTACTTGTAAAAATTGATAAGCACGAAGCAGATAGCAAGCGAAGAATAGAACAGGACAGGCATCGCGTCTAGAGTTTAAGAGAGTGAAGAGCGAAATGCTCGTTAGAGAGAAGTAGCTTTTGCTTCGTATCCTTTCGAAATCTCGTAGCTCGAATAATCAAAGCCTGATCCCACCTCGTTTCTCTTTCTGCTATCGAAACTCGGGGAAATTTGCCGCCTCATCAGGTAGTTCTAGATACGTGGATCCGGTACAGCGTCATCCGTCAATTGCTGCTCGGACTAAGGTACTGAAGCGAAGTCGGAGCGAGGGTTGACGGGTCAAAAGCTTCTGTGTGTCATTGCACGCAAAAGTTTGGCAAACAGGGTTCCTCTGGTTGGTTCGATTGACGGTACAGGGTCCCCACCATTACTCCATACCCCGCGCACCGAATTAGGACCTTGACTCATGGAGGGGGGGGGCCTTAATTGTCCATGTCTTTGGATAAAAATTTCTAGTGGTCGCCAACCTCAAACCTCACCTCTTCACCCATTGCATTCTACGACGACTATCCTGTTCGCGACATTGCTTTTCTCCCTGGCTACGATACCTAAAGAAAGCCCACACGAATCTCCAAAGACCCAGCCTGGCACCATGTGCGGCACTGACAACGCTTCAGCGGCGGCTCCCGCGCCGCACCCGGCCTCGACTGCCCACCTACCGTCGTCCTCGCCTTATAGCCAGGTCCAAGATTTCATCTCCCAGACCCAATCGTACCAGATCATCGAATCAACTTTGCGCGAGGGAGAGCAATTCGCCAATGCCTTCTTCACTCGTGAGCAGAAGGTCAAGATCGCAACCATGCTCTCGTAAGACAACCCCCGCGTCCGCCAAGCTGTTCACGACGCCGGACCTTGTCGTGACTGTCTCGTGAAACTATTTTAACGAACGACAGTGAGTTTGGATGCCAGTATATTGAGCTTACGAGCCCTGTGAGCTCCCAGGCTTCATACGACGACTGCAAGTACATTTGCTCGCTTGGACTCAAGGTGAGGCCGCTCTTCCGTGGTGCGGAACCACTTGACATCATTGCTCACACTCTACAATAGGCCAAGATCTTGACACACGTTCGATGCAACATGGAAGATGCCAAGCGCGCAGTGGTAAGCCAGTCTCATCAACGATATCTGCATGGGGTTGTTATATAGCCCGCAGGCAGGATACGTCAGCCTTTGACATCACTGCTGGCTATGGCCCTTGACGCTAGCCTGCCGCGGTGCTGTGCAGCCCTGGCAGGCGTACGATCGCTCAACTGACATGATCAGGAATGCGGAGTTGACGGTGTAGATCTCGTTATCGGCACTTCATCCTTCCTTCGCCAGTACAGCCATGGAAAATCCATGGCTATCATCAAGGAAACGCATGTGCCCTTTCCTGAGACCAGCGGATGGCATTGTTATACTGACTGAATTCCTCAGGGCACTCGAAGTCATTGAATACGTCAAGTCGTGAGTTATTGCAACCTGCACAAGTTCTAGACGCACCAATTCCTAACAAACGCAATAGGAAGGGAGTTGAGGTGCGATTTAGTTCCGAGGACAGTTTCCGATCCGACCTTGTCGATATTCTTTCCCTTTACCAGGCCGTGTACGTTGGACAACGCAAGTAGCACGACGATATATGTTGACCATCTCTACAGGGATAAGGCAGGCGTGAACCGCGTTGGTATCGCCGACACTGTAGGGCATCCGTGTTTTCCATTATCTTTGTGAGCCGCATGAAGCTAATCTTGGCGTCCTTGTCCAGGTCGGAGGAGCTACTCCCCGAATGGTCTACGACCTCGTCCGCACGCTCCGAGGTAAGGTTTTGCGAGCAAGGACCAAGAGATGAATATGCTAACGTGTCCTAGGTGTGGTAGGCTGCGACATCGGTGCGTATTTGAACCCGACGTCTTCTTCACTCACACTCCTTGTCAATCCCTCTTCTCAAGCTCACATACAAGTTGCTTCTTATGATGAATACTTTGCTAACAACTCTAAAGAAACCCACTTCCATGACGATACTGGCTGCGCAGTCGCGTAAGACACTCCCAAGATTGAGTAATGTATGCTGGCTGACAATCTCTTCAGGAACGCTCTCACTGCCCTCGAAGGTAGTCCTGTCTTTGGCATCGTGATGTAAACATCAGCTAAATCAACTGTAGGAGGAGCCACGCACGTGGACACGTCTGTTTTAGGTATCGGAGAGCGTGAGTGCTTTAATTCCTGGCTGATTGAAAGTTGTGCTGACTCGAGACTTTGACAGGAAACGGCATCACCCCTCTGTATGTATCGCAACGCTGCACAGTGGAGAACACTTACTGATAAGCCTTCAAGTGGTGCTTTAATGGCTCGCATGGTCGTAACTGCGCCAGAGTACACTAAGAAGACATTTGATCTTCCACGCTTGAAGACTATCGAGGAGTACGTTGCGAGTGTTGTCGAGATCAACATTCCATTCAACAACCCCGTTACAGGTAAGTTGTCAAAAGCGGTGGGAGCGGCGATCGAGTCAAGACTAGGACTGACCCTTCACAGGCTTCTGTGCCTTCACGCACAAGGCTGGTATCCACGCCAAGGGTAGGCACAGTGGAATTACCCGGCCCTTTCTGACTAGCACTAACCTTGCACAGCTATTCTGGCGAATCCCTCTACTTACGAGGTACGTACAATCCAGGATAGCTTCCAATACGGCTAGTTGCTAACAAGAAATAGATCATCGACCCTGCGCTATTCGGACGTACGATTTATATCCCTTTCTTCTTAAAGTCTCAAGCAGGAGAAAGCTAACGTTATAGTGACTCGCTACGTTAACATTACCTCAAGAATTACCGGATGGAACGCGGTCAAGGGCAGAATGTTCGTTTTCCCTACTCCTCCAACCCATATTAGTGCCCCTCTGCACTAGTGTGCTGGGGGTTCAATTGATTAGGCGCCACTAATACCTGTTAGTACCCAACTCGGCCTGGACGGACCCGGTGGCTTCGAGACCGACGACCAAATCAAGGAAGTGTAAGTCCATGAATTAATGAAGAACATCGAAGGAGTTGAAGCTGATATATCCGTTATAGTACTGCTAAGATCAAGCAACTGGCTGACGCATGTGCCCTTTCCACTTGGAAGCATGACCAGAGTAGATTTAGCTAACAACAATGTCTTTTAGATCCGACCACTTGCCATCGACGATGCGGATTCTATTATCCACGCATACCATCTTCAGCTCACGGGTAACAGTAAGCAGCAGGAGACCGCTGCTTGAGTTGGATGAAAGCAAACGGGAATTTGGAAACACAAGATGCAGAAGAAAACAACATGTAGGAACTGGTAGGGTTGGCGTTACCAACAAAAGCAAAAGCAATAGTCGTTATTTTCTCCGTACTTTCGTACTCTGACATTGAGAGCGTGACACAAGCCGCGAGCCAACATGTGATGATCCCTTCGAGGTCATTTTGATGATATGCCTATGTAGTGCCAATTAATGTTCTCGTCTATACTATTCCGACAGGATGCCTGCGAATGCACCAATGTTCTGTTCCGTTCAATCCAACTCCATCCAATGCAAACAAACATGTTGTAACAATCATGCAACTCCGGGCGTCATGCCATGCTTCGTAACTTCGTCATTAATCCAATTATCCCCCTCTGTATTTCCCTCGGTGGTCGGTTATGAGTTGACAAAGACTTGGTACGCCATGATCATAACCCAGACGAAGAAGACAGTACCAGTAAGAGCCATCGCAAAGACAAGCTGCCATGATTGACCTGCACAAGTTAGCGATGAAACTTGACCTCGAACGTGAGACATAAAAACGTACAGATGTTTCGTTGTTGAAGCCACGCCATCGTCGCCATGCTCGTACCCTTGGGATTCCTTCCAAAGACCTGAACATCGCACACGCTCTGAATAGATCCATCAGGTCCGAATAATTGTATCGCTACGACGACAAGTCCCACGAGCCAGAGTACGAAGAACATGAAACCGCCGACCATTACGATGGCAGGGAGGAGGCGTCGTTGGGCGATGAGCCAGAAGATACCGAGAATAAAAATAATGGAGAGAGAGCCGACGGTGATAAAGTAGGGAAAGTACCTGCAGACATTAACAAACCATCTCCCGATAGGTAGTAGGTAGTGCAATGGGGGGCGTACCATGGAATTCCAAGCTCAAGTTGAGTTTGGATCTGTATGAATGTCGCGAACACGCCGATGATGCTCGTCGACGCGAGGAGGATAACAAAGATCCAGAAATTCAGTTGCCAAGGAGGCCAGTTGTATGTTCGAACATGTGTAGATGGCGGAGGCCCGTCGTAGGTCATTGATGATCTCGTGAAGCTCGTTCCCGTCCATCCTGTGGTGCCGGTCAAACCGGTAACCGTTGATTTGGCGACCATTATGCTGTTTCTGTTCTAAGGACAAAACGTGAATAAGAAGCTCAATATGTCGTCGAGGTCGTCAAGATATAGTATAAGTCGTCGAAAGCCCCAAGAATCACGCGTCGCTGGTTGTTTCTTCCTCAATGCCAAAAAAGACTGCCACGTCGCAGAACAAGCCCCGCCGATCGGCGACCAGTTGATTCCAGCGTCGCCTCGAAGGGAACCTCAATTCGATTCCCCTCGTGAAGATAGTTTGGGTGCCTCAAAATCGAAGCTGCTGCGTTGATGCCTCACGCGTTTAAATCTCTCGTCGATAGGGGATTCTCGGTGTTTTCTGCGCGTCCAGTTGGATCGGAGCTTCCAGGTGTGGAGATTGTGCTGCGTTGGCTGGGGATCTGACGTCGGGTTGATGTGCCAAGAGGTACCAATTGAGGCCTCTTATCAGGTATTAATCACACGATAGCGATTGTTGTCTTGGTGTTTTTTGATATTCCAGAGGAGAGATGGAAGAAAAGCAAAAGGAAGCAAAATAGAACAAAAGTCAACAAGACAGGGGATGGAAATGGTCCATCCAATTGAGGTCAAGTGTGAAATTACAACAAAGCGTTTTTTGGGTGAGGCTTCGGGTAGAGGGGGTTGGTTGGTGGCTGGGGATGCGACGCAACAGGGGACGATGACGCTGCGATGGCTTCTGAATGGTTACACGTCAAAAGACAAGATCCGTTTTCCAGCCTTTGAGATGAGTTCTTTACGATTAATCAGAAGATCGGAGAAATTATTTGTCATGTTTCAGTACCAAATGTGCCGGAATTGAACAGTAAGTCGGTGATGGTTTCATGTGGTAGGCATCAAGTCCCGAGGAAAGAAAGACATTTTATTTCGAGAGTGATCTCGCAGCGCAGCCAGCGCTTGTATGTTATGTACCTAATGCATATGCACCGACCCAATTCCATTCATTCAACTCAAGGATATCATCAATCATCGCACAAAACCCCCCTAATTTACATTTACAAAAGAGTCTCGCCAAGAGCACACCGCACCAGCGAGCATCCAGCGTGGATTGTGTTCTGCTCAGCTTGCTTACCATCTGCGAGCTGAGGGTTCACCTCGACGAGATCAATGGCGACAAGGTTTCCTGTCTCGTGCACGCTCTCGCAGATGAAATCTCCCTCGCGGAGAGTCAGACCGCCGCGGACGGGTGTGCCGGTGCTGGGTGCCCACATGGGGTCGAGAGCATCGACGTCGAAGGATAGATGGATGGGGGTGTCGTTTCCGATGTGAGCGAGGGCCATCTCGACAACGCGACCGATACCATGTCTGTAAATGTCAGTAAAGCTCATGAGCGTAGAAGTGAAAAGCTTACCGGTCGACATCGTGCATGCTAAAAGCCTTGATGCCATGCTCACGGAGAATCTTCTTCTCGCCAATATCAACAGATCGAAGACCAATGTAGACCAGTTTCTTGACGCTCAAGCGCATGTCATCCTCGAGCCAGCCAAAGTACTCCTCGTTATCCTCCTTAGCAAGACCAGTCAAGAAAGCAACAGGCATGCCGTGAATGTTTCCGCTGTCACTGCTCTCAGGAGTGTTGATGTCCGCATGCGCATCAACCCAGATAACAGCAATCTCACGGTTCAGCCTCTCCCGCGTAGCCTTGGCAGTACCAGCAATAGTACCGATGGCAATGCTGTGATCACCGCCGAGGGTGAGGGTCATGCGACCCTCGCGCGAGTGCTCGTATGTGTGCGATGCGATCTTGCGGGTCACGGCGGAGGCGTGACGGGGCTTCTTCATGCCGCGGTAGTCAGGGTCAGACTCGGGCACGAGGTCCTCGAACTGCTGGACGGACTCGTCGCCAAAAAGCTTGTAGCCGAGCTCGTCGCGGATCTCGGTCAGGAGGCCGGACTCGATGAGGGCGGCGGGACCGATGTCGACGCCGGCCTTGGGCTGGCCGCCGGAGAAACCGACGGCGACGATGCCGACTTCATCGGGCTTGGAGAGGAAGCGGCTGTTGACGAGACCGGTGTTCATGATGGGCGGAATGTGGGGGGTGACGTAGAGGTTGAGATGTGAGATAAGATAAGAGGAGGTGAAGTGAAGATAAGAAGTGAAGATAAGTGGGAGAAAAGATGAAGATGGGTTGGGTTGGGTAGAGTTTGAGAGAAGATTGAGCAGAAAGAGATGGATGGGAAGAAGCCTCCATTTGTATTCGGAGGTCAATGACATTTCTCATCCTCTCTCGGCCTCTTTGAACCCTCTCATGGCTGCAATCGGCCGGCGGCACAGACACACATTTCTCCTCTGTACCTCTCCCCAAGACAATTGAATATGGATAAGGTAATAGCGTCGGTTTCGGGCGGGCGCGGGGGTTTCTCTTACACTCTCCAAAGGTTATCAACAGCCTGCCACTGGCACATGTCAAGGGTCATCAGACAGCCCTTTCGAGTCTAGACGAGATACTTGACAGATACAGTACAGATGCTGTGATTCTGTTGGTCCCGCTCATCTGGGTTTCTCTTACGCACATCTTCTCCAGTTTTTCCCTCACTATGTGTCCATTCAATTCCCGCCTGCTCCAAAATCCCCGATTCCCCAATTCGAACAGGTCTCCTCCACTTTGAGTCAAGTGCCGACGATGTATATCCTATGTTTTTCGCCTTGTCCAATACCTCTACATCTTCTCATCAGACATTATCTCTCATTCTCATTGTTTCTGATGTCTTTTGCCGCCGGCCATGGACGTGGGATGCACCGCTCACAGCCGTAGATAGCCTCTATTGATCTTATGTAATGTTAGGTAATACCTCTGGCGCATGCCATGGTCGTGGTCGGCACTCTTTACCCCTAAGTTACTAGCTGTGTTTTCGACGGAGGAGTGGGCGCATAAGAGTCGCGGGTCTGCCTTCCCCTAAGTTACTAGCTGTCTCTGCAACTTTCCCCTAAGTTACTAGCTTTCTGGAGTTTGTGTCTTGTCTCTGTTTTTGCGTCCCACGCTCCAGCGCCCGCAAGACTTTGCTCATGGTTGGGGCTTGTTATCAAAGCCCCAGAAATGGACCGACGTGACCCGGTTGAGATGGAACTTTTTACGCAAGACAACGAAGGTCGTAGACCGATTTTACGCCGACGAGCAATGTTCGAGAGGACACGATGCTGTCAACGGTCATCGAGCGAGGCCGGTTTATTTCCTTGAGCTGGGGAAGCTCCGGAGCCGCACCTTTTACCCCACCACCAACAATTCTCACTGAAGCCGACGATGGTCTCGACGCTTTGTTCTCGACAGACCGCACCGCACACATTCAGTAAAAACACGGAGATTCAGGCGAAGGGATTGTTCGGCCTTGGCGACACAGAAAAGATCCTCACATGACGGAACGCGGATCTCGAGACGGATACGGCAGGTCACAGAGGGATTTAATATTCTGGCAATTATTGGCGAAGTTGACAGATCACTCTGTTGGACAAGTGAGCCGGATAAGCAGTTGGGGTAGGACAAAAGATCCGAGGTCATTCGCGATATTCTCCAGCCCAGGCGAACCAATGGACTTGGTCACATCATACACAGGTCGCGAATAGAGCAATTGGTATGGAATGAAGGACTGACGTAGGCTGACTCAGTAGATCAGCTGACTATCCATATGGAAAATTCCATGACAGCTCGTATTCATGACATCGGGGTTTTTAGACTCTCGTTTGTTTCGGATGGGTTCTCCACTGGAAAAGCTTAGCATCTCGATACCCTGAGAGTATTGAAGATGGAGGAATGTATCGAATTGCTGCTTTTACGAGATGGAGTAGCGTTCACTCCCGGTATTCTTGTGCCATGAACCGGCAGTCCGTCTGAGGGTGAGTCGTGCCAAGCCGTCAGCTTCGAGGTTTGCTTCTATTT